ATTCTTATTTTTATCGCTTACTCTCATTCTTTCTCTTTCTCCTAGTGATCGACTCGATTATGAAGACGTCAGCATCTGGAAGAAAGCACGATATCCGATGGACAACAAGGATGCAGCTGGACGAGTTCGACTTCGCAGATAACCTGGCTCTTCTATCGTACACGTAACAAAAAATTCAAGAGAAGACGACCAGAGTAGCAGTAGATCTCAACACACATAAAAGGAAAAGCAACATTCTCCGATACAACACAACATGCGCCAACAAAATCACTCTTGATGGAGATGCCTTGGAAGACGTTAACACCTTTACATATCTGGGCAGCATCATCGAAAATCAAGGTGGATCCGATGCAGATATGAGAGCGTAGATCGACAAATCAAGGGCTGCATTTCTACAATTGAAAAATAACTGGAACTCCAAACAAATATCAGTCAACACCAAAATCAGGATTTTGAATACAAATGTCAAGACAGTTCTACTGTATGTGGCAGAAACTTGGAGAACTACGATAGCCATCATCCACAAGATACAATATTCATGAACAGTTGTCTAGGCAAAATACTTCGCATTCGTTGGCCAGACACGATCAGCAACAACCTATTGTGGGAGAGAACAAACCAGATTCCAACTGAGGAGAGTATCATGAATAACTGTTGGAAGTGGATAGGCCACACACTGCGTAAAGCACCCGACTATCTTAAAAGACAACCCTCACATGGAACCATCAAGGTCAAAGGAAAGGAGGAAGGCCAAGGAACACATTACGCCGAGAATTAGAGAAAGACATGAGAAGAATGAACTAAAATTGGAAAGAACTGGAAATGGAAACCCAGGACAGAGTAGGTTGGAGGAAACTGGTGGGTGACCTATTCTTCATTGGGAGTAACAGGCGTAAGTAAGTAAGTGAGTAATTTTTATCGCAGTCAACTTTGCTATTCATTTAAAAACGGCTGTGAAAGAAAGTCCAATTGGTTTTCAGATACATTCCTCAGAAATGTCAAGTAGTTTTCTATGTGCTGAACATGTAGATCGCTAGGAAAATAATGCAAATAATGACTGAACCGCAGTTCTCCAGAGATTTCAATGTGTTTTAATTGAGTTTCTCTCCTATTGATCAGAATTCAACAGTGCAAACGTTTATATTTACTTTAGCGGCTCATGACTGGACTCCAGTGTGGACGAATGATCGAGTGTGAAATGAAATAAATCTTCCTCTCCACTTTCGCATCCATACTTAGGCGGAGCCTATTAGTGCGACAGCGGTAGTAAAAAGCCAAACACAGTTTTGCCGATGAATTTATTTTATGCATTCATCTATGCAGACACACATGAGAATGGAAAGCGTACAGGCAGAACAAAGCGAATTGGAGAAGGCGACTGGGCGAAATCTCCGTGTGTTGAAAAATGACCAAGTATTAATAGTCAAGCAATAATAGGCCAGACATGTCATAAGCAAATAAGCACACACAATCAAATATGCAATAATTGATACGGTAATCGAATTATTACAATACTTTGAATTTCTGTAAAGCAAAAATTTACAAAAGCCTGTAAATTGGCTTCCGAACGATTAGTTTTGTTGATGAAAGTTTATTGATAAATAGCACTCATGATAAAAATGAATATCGCTGAAAAATATATCACTTTTTTTAAAAAACCAACTTCATATACAAACTTTTGGAATCTGTTACACAATGTCGTGCAGTCTTTCAGCTGAACCTTTTTAGAATATTATCTGTATATTATAAAACTAGTTTCCTCAGTCATACAGCTTATATGTAGTTTATTAATCACATTCAAGATTTGAGCTGAAATACAATATCCAAAGAAAATAGTTCAGTGTCTTCCAATTAACCTGACTGAATTAATTAATTAAATTTTATCACCAATAAAATCGAAACTAGTCAGCTTGTAGATAAATAACTCGTTCAGTTTATCAAATCACGGTGTTTTCTTTTTATAAATTTTAGTCCGAGCTAAAGTTCACAGAGGTGTACTTTTTTTACGGCTAGGATAGTGAAATGCATTAGGACACTGAAATAAAAGAAATTTGAGTAAATGTACAAGTTTAAGCATTCACATACTAATATAGAATTTCTGCATAGAATTAGATAAAAAGTTTTATCAATCATGTCAGTAAATTTTCTTACCTTACATTTTACAAGTTTTTTTTTAATCTTTATACAAGCAACTAAAGTCAAAGTTTATATACTAACTTGATTTAACTTTGTTTTACTTACTCCAAGTTTGAGAACTATACTAAATGCGCTGAAATGGACTTGTGTCGGGCATATTAGTGCTGCATTTTATTTAAGGAGTTTTTATATATTATTGATCATTTCGCTGTTATCATGATTATTTTCCTAGGATTATCGTAATCATTTGACTACAATAAAAATGACCTAGTTTCGAAAACATCTGGCATTTGCCCTACACTGGAAATTCTATTGACTAAATAAAAAAACGTAAAACTAGCAACATTTATAATGATTTCTTGATTTTATCATTATAAAATTGACTAGTTTGGGAAAAAAATTAAATATACAGAAATTTATTTGCTTGGTAAATAGTTTGCTTTTTTAATTTGTAGACGTCAATTTCTGTCTACTGATAACAATAGTGCTCCATGTTTGGTTGGATCAAATCTGCTCTTATAGTATTGGCAAGTTCTTCAAAATTAGTAAATGTTTTTAGGAAGCCTGCTCCAACTACAACCAGTCTATGAATAAATTTAAATCTACAAGACACGTTCCTAACCCAACTAAAGAAGGTACTTCGCGTCATATCCTATAATTATACTCTACAAACGTACTTTCATATAAAAACAATATTACTACCGTTAATTAGTCAGTCATAAAGTCGACTGTGACTGAATTCGAAGAAAAATCGACAAGCTGAATTGCATTTAATCCAGTAATCACTTCACTTAGATTATCACTCTGAAAACCAGGTATAATTCAACTGGCCTCTAGATTAACTGCAAGGCAGTATACCTATGTCTCTCATATCACCATCAGAAAACAAGAACCATAAAGATGAAGACAGACAGTTTAGAGGAAGAAAATATATATAATAGGGCTACTGCTTGTGGAGTTAACTTTCTCCAAATCACTTTCAATACAGCCTGTCTCTACGGGATGCAAATTTTATTATCATATGTTATCTGATATGTATCAACTCAAATCTCCCTGATCTAGATCAGTTCAGAAACATTTTCATGTGGAATCTGAAATGTAATTCCACATTACGCCCAATACAACAGATCACTACGGCTATTAACTGTTATATCTTGTTGAATCAACAGTGAGCTGATTTTTCAAACAAGGTAAGCTACACTGCAGGAGTATGTAATTAGTCCTATAGCTAAAGGTTACAGGTACATTAGTATTGTGGCACCTAACTGATGTAATGCACATTTTCTGAAACGGGATTTTTACTCGTCGACCCTTCTGAATTTAACTACTCAGTCATTAATCAAAGCTGACTAGAAATAAAGCTTCTGACTTTCAATTTATTTTCATCTATAAAAGTTTTGTTGCATACCGACTAACTGTTTTTTGCACCAGTAAAATGACTATCATTTCTTTCGGTGTATTCAAGCTCCAAAAATATATTTTATGAATGTAATTTTTGATCAGTAAACTAACGAATACAAACTTTCATAAATGCTTGAATGCTGAAGTATCGGTACGTTATCTTGTTCATCAGCTGAGTTATATAAGGATTCTTTTAATTCGTACAAGGAATTGTTATTATGTTTTCGGCTTTTTTCAGTGGATTGATGCGAACTCCAGAGCATCTAAATGTGGTGGATCCACTGTCGAAATTCAGACGACAAAGTGATTTTCGTAGCTTAAGCCATACTAGAGTTATATGATCGGGTTTTTCGTTTTATTGTTTATATACTTTATTATATACAGAGATTACCTCTAAATCAAATACTCGAACGACACAGTACAAAGATACTAGGTCAAATTAAACCAGATACACGATTCACGACAAAAAGCGGAGAACCAGATTAAGCAATGTATAGAATTTTACTCCATACAGCTACAAACAGTCGCACTTAGTGAGTCCGGAATAGAAATCAACAAGCGCAAATGGAACCACAACCTTGATAGTCAGTAGACTTTGATTGTTTGTCCACACACAATGACCGATCACAGAATCCTTTCAATGCCACAAGTCAAAAGGGTTTCTGAACAGTGCATACAATTGATAGTAATCAACTGAAAGTAATTTTCGTAAAACTTGATACTTTAATTACAGGTCATATCGTGTTTTCCGTAGAAAGGATTAGATATAAAATAAATTCCGATCGAATTAACCTGTCGAGGTATTCGACGCATTTTGTATAGCTGATGGTAAGATAGCCGGAATAACCATGATTGACATTATAACTCTGTTCTTGGTCTCTATGATATGCGAAAATCTGTATCACATAGGCAGCACTTCATTTTATACTATGGAAATGCGTATTTCTCCTACCTTTTCCATCATTCGAAATGTTACCATTGTCATGTAGCAATTCCACTCCACACAATACAAACATTCGATTTACTTATTATTGTTTCAAACAAACAATAATTTCATTTTATTGTTTGTGAAATTATTTATTTCGCACTGATGCTGGTTAATACTGGGACGTCGGCATTAGTATTGATAAACTCGAAAGAAACAATAAGACTGTCAAATGGATTAATGTGGTTTATCTGGCTGCTTAACCAATAGAAATGTAATCATGCTGTGATTGGTTACAATTGTGAGAAATAATCAACAGAGTTAACTAATTATACTGCAGATTATAATGCATTTGTAATTTTTAGAATGTAAACAATTTTACTGAAATCTATTTCTTTGTTTATATTTTAAATTGTTATTTTTACTCACGGAACAAAGCAAATGATTACTCCTATTACTATTGAAATATATTGAAAATTTGATGAAATCATGTCTGAAGTAATTTCATGTTAAATGTTCATATATATTTCTATTAAAAATGAGATCAGAATTTATAGAAGCACAGATTGTTGAAAGGACTCCTACACATAATCCTAATCATACATTACAAGGATATGATGACTTCTGTTCCAATGTTCCTCAATTAACATCCAGTGGATATTTAGAAGCAATGATTCAATATGTTAAATATTGTATCGGTGGAAGTCATAATGAAGAAATGTTACAAATCTTAACTATAGAATTGACAGAATTAAATTCACATAATTTATTAAAATTAAATGAATTGATTATACTCATTTGTGTATATACAGCAATGATTCTATTTGGATCATGCGGTTCTTTACTTGTGGTATACACAGTGATACGAAAGCCTAAAATGCGTACACCACGAAATTTATTTATTGTAAATTTAGCCATCAGTGATTTAATTCTATGTCTGTTTACACAACCATTCAATTTACTGCGTATATTATATTGGCATTATGATTGGAAACTAGGTCAGATTATGTGTAAATCAGTTGCTGTAGGACAAGCAACAAATATATTTATTTCAACAATCAGTATTATTGCTATAGCATTAGATCGTCTACAAGTGAGTTTATTTTTTGTGAAAAAAATACTAACTAATTTCTAGAATAAAAGTCTCATTTTTTTTGTGTTTTTAGTTTGCTTTTTTTCAAGATTAAGTTTGAAGACTGAAGAAAAGATTGTCGTTTGATCGCTAGAAAAACAGTAGCTATACTAACTCTTGACAGTTGTTTAATCCATGAATAAATATGAAAAATTATGCAATTTATAGTCCAAATATCAGCCCATTATAAACTCTAATATTTAGTTAAGAAGTTCGTTTAGACACTAGTGGATGATGAATTTATTTTTTTAATTTAGTAGGTTAAAGTTAATTATCAAGAAAACGAAAACTAGTTTCGGATTTTAATCGCTAAACGTCCAGTATTTATTACAGATACCTTTGTGGAAAGATGGTTACAAATTTTAATCAACTTTTGATCAAATAAATCATTTTCACATTGTAACGTTTGTAAAAATTAATATCATTCAATGTAACCAATGGCGGATGGATTATTTAATTATAGAAGTATCGGGTGTTATTAGGCTTATGCAGAAAATTTTTAAAACTATTTTCATTTGTAATAAATAACATTTTATAAGCATCAAAGAGTTAGAATGGTCAAATGGACATTTTAGATTTTTTGGTAAATCAATTTTACGATTCACGTATGCTCTATAATTAAAATGTCCGGTTACTGATTTATAGTTTCTCAATCGCTAATAAACTTATTTAATAATTTATTGCCTTAAAACTTAGTTTGCTTATCCATTCAAATTTTCGGTATGAAATAATTTGAAAGAAATACATTTCAGTTATATTAGAAAAGGGATTATTTATTACTGATAATAATGAAGTTTAGAAATCTTTCGGTCTATCACCATTCTGTAATTGCATCTCTTATATAGGAAAAAAAACATCCATTCATATCTAGATTTTCTCTGAGCTAGATTTTAGGAATGTAGATTGGTTGATAAGTAGTATGATATATTAATAAAGATATTTTCAAAATGTTGTTTCTTATATTTATTTAATGATACATCTTACTTTAGTGAGTAGTTGTACACACTATTTAGAATCTATTATAAATATACCTTTCACTGGTAACTATTTAAAACCCGATTTCCAATGTTTTGTGCACTTTATAAATGGTCTAAACACTTATTGACCACCATGTTTCATACTTATAAAACATTTCATCTCTATTAAATTCAGAGACTAGTTTCGATCCAAGTTAATTTCATAGTCTGTGTAAAAGTATTTCACAACTCTATGTTTGATTAAAATTTTGTGTGATATTTTATATTGTTCTATTTGCTTATCTATAAAGTGATCATAGTCGACGAGCAGTTAGAATAAAATTGAATTAATGTTTTAAGCTGAGACTCTATTCTTGTTATTATAATTTTGTATAGCCTAAGTTACTATTTAGTTTGAGGATTTGAATCATTATCGATGATCTAACTAATCTTGATGAGAATCATTCTGCTTACATGTTAAAGCCTCTCTGTTTTGATTTGATAAATAATAAGGATCTTCTGCATTTTAATGCATACTTCGAAAATGGTTTGGTTACACAATCACAAATTGTCTGATACAATTTTCAATTCCAGGCAATGCGCAAATGAATAGTTATTTAATGGTATTATCATGTAATACATTTTTCCAGAGTAGGAAGCATATAAATGATGAGTAATTCTTTTTAAGTTGACTTATCAAACCTCAGCTTCAAAATACTGTTTCACGTACTTCAAATTATAAGTTATCATTCTGATTATTCAGCAATGTTTTATTGTTTGTGAATAAGAGTTAATTAAATTTAAATCAATCACTTAGTCATATTATCATAAATCATATAATATATTACATGGAGAACGTTATAATTATTTAGATAATAAGATCGAAAAATTATACCAGATTGCTATTTTTAAATTTTAATCATGCATCATGTTGTTGGCTACAAAATTGAATAACAAAAAATCACTTAGAGAAACTAATCATTATGAAAGGATACATTTCCTGTGATAACATGCTCATATAAACGAAATGTTAATGAAGATTTCAGTTTTTATTACAAGTAATGTATGCAATATTTATATATCTTCACTTATTAACTGTTTATATGTTCAAGAAATGCATATTGTATACATTGATCGGTATATTATTTATTGTTTGAATTACTCTTCAGTTCTTAAACGCATTTCAAACTATCGTTTTGTTTATTAAAATTCTTGTTTATTGTCACTTGTGCACCTTTGAAAAAATATCACTTTTATCATACTTAACTACACTTTGGCGGTTAAAATTTGACTTAAAAATCATTACATTTTTATATTTCCCTTACTAATCGATAGGCTTTAATGATAAACTTTTTTGTGCATATACTGACTTATTTGATTTATCGAGATTAGAAATGGGTAATTAGCAGGTTGAATAGAAATCAATGCCGCCATTAAAAAAATCATTTATTTCACTATTGAAAAATACAGACGATTATTTAGTCAATAATAATAATAAATGTCACATTGTATAACAAATGTAACTTGTAGGTTAGAATATGTCTACTAAACCTAGATAAAATGCATGCCATTAATGATCCCTAACAGAAATCTCATTACAACATTAGATATTTAAACTAAACTATTCATTTTCATATGGCGTGTTTGAAAATTTACTATCTACGTATATTAAGTTGAATTTAGTCCATATGTATGTCAAAAAGCGAATATTTTACACAAAATATCTACATATCAGTCCTTATTAAAAGATGAATATTAAAGTAGACACAAATTAAACTGTTTTGGTCCAACTAAAATATATTTCGTCTCATATGTTGAATCTAAATTAGATAAACAGCTATAACTATTCCATATTATTAAAACGAGATACGGTTGATTTTGTGAGGGCAGAACTACATTTTAATGGAGAAAAAACTAACATTAACACTTAAGTAATAATTTCTAAAATAAGATTTTCAAAATATAAATATATAACTATCATAACTAAACATTATTTGATGGTTTCTGTCATAGAACTGTAGCCGAAAATGATAATGACAACGAACATTCATGTACAACAGTACACATAATCCACCTAAAACACAAAATCGATAAATCTGAAGTTAATTTAAGTTCACGGAAGACTAATCCTAATACTAAGTTATTTGACAATACAACCCGACAAACATCAGACAACACATAGTTTATAAATTTTCAACAGTTTCTCTAATTATTTTGTCTCAGAGATTCTGAATTATTTATAAAGCTCAGGCTAGTGATGAAAGGTTTATTGTTAATAAATATACCTAGTTTGAATCATAAAGTGGCGTGGATTTTCTGTTAACGAAAAGATATGTATGCACTAGCCTAGGAAAATCATAAGTAATGTCGACTTTTATTACTGGTTGAACTAAAAAGCATTGCGAAAACTATCAAGACATGCATACACTGAAATTTCGAAGCATATCTGTGTGTCTGTTTGTGGACCTACTGAATTTTCACACGCCACATCACTGGATTAATTACTCTGGTTTAATACATTTAGGTAATTTTTAGAATTATAGGAGAACAGTGTATAGTGTAAGATATATTTTTTGTCAAAATAATTGTTGAGTTACTTTTTGAAATCATGAATTGATCAATGATGAGTCCCGTACAAGGACGAAACGGCCGTCCAGTGCTTCCAGGTTTCTAATGGTGGTCTAACATTGGTTGATTCATGATTTCAAAAAAAATATAATAACAATTAGGCTAGAATAACTAGAAAACTTATCACTTGAATCTAGTGACTTCTATCTATATTATTAAAGCAGATTTTAACCTGTTAAGGCCATTATTAAGTGAGTTTTCATGTTGTATTTTTTGTTCGCTGGGTAATTTTTTGAAAGACACTAAAAATTTTAAAAACAGCGGAAATTCTAATCAAATTTTATCAGTTTCAGTATGGTTAGAATGTCACTGAAATAGGTCTAGTAAACGGATTTTTTTAGATTAGATCAACTTGATGATAATAGCACAATGAAAAGACGGAGTTGAACTGAAAAATATTATATATTTGCACTATACATGTCGAACAATCTGATCATACAAATACTTGTCAAGGCATTTTATGGTGAAATTATCAAGGTCAGTTAAATAAAAGTTCAAATAAATGTAGGATGATAATTGTTCATAAAAGAGAGAGAAAATTGACATAGTATGCAAAAACAAGAGAATTGTCTCATTACCCTAGGTCAGTTTCTAATTTAAGAATAGATTATTTGAAATGTATAGCACAAATACATCTAATCTCATTGTTCCGTCGAATTTCATATGAAAAAGGACAATTTGTTGTAGATGAGAATAGATAGATAACACTTAGTTTATTTTGGATTTTTCAGTTTTTGAAAAACAAATGTTCACATTCACATTACTTCCTTCAGTTCTTTTGTTCGATTTTTTTGCATGTTATCGTCGTTTTTCTAAATGTCATGAACTTCTGTATCCGGTTAAGTTTTTACCTGAGTGATTTTTGTTAAAATAATTATGAGAAAAAAAACAACTTTATTTAACCTGTATGAAAAACATTTTTTTAAAAATCAAATGTAGAGTTAAGATCTACTTATTCAATTTATTCTTTGAGAATGATTACTACTAATAACGAATATGATTGTTCATCATTGTTCTCCTTTCAAATATAAATTGAAATCAGCGAAATTTTCCGAAGGATCACTTAACAACAGTGTACCATGTTGAACAATTATTAGAAAAAACTAAAATGATTAATCGGATAAGTTTATTACAAAAATACATTCCCTAAATGTATTTTAAAATATATCTACTCACAGTAGTATCACAGTGAGTGCATATTCCGCTGTCGAGTCTTCAAGAGTTTATCGATAATTTATGATTAAACAATTTACAATGTTTAGTACAACTGAGATAAGAACACGTCACCAACAATCATAATTTTTCTCCTTACAAATAATTTTGAACGAACAAAAAGTAAATTAAATAAATAAGTTATAAAATTAACGTATTCAATTT